CCCAAGAACTTCCTTTATTTGGGCTCTGTTTTGAAGAAAACAGTGTTCAAAAAAGAAAGAAAATAAAAAGATAATACAAAATTATTTTTTCTCACCTACGTGCCATTGGTTCCGCTCTTTTGTTGTCACCCTATTGACGTGAATAAACCCTTTTCTGCCGCAGAGTAATACTTTCCCATTCCTTCGGCGCTATTGAAAGCCAATCAGAGTCTTTAAGTGGCCCCACTGAAGCCTCCAGTTGCTGCCGCCCTTCGCGAAGAAAGCTGCTGTATGCGCGAGACTCCCATGTACTGTTATCCTCATCCATTAAGTCTGTAGATGATTGATCATCATTTTGCCCAAGACAACTACCAGAACTTGAGTTTCTGATGCTTTCCGCAAAAGCTTCATATTCCTCCTTCTTACGAGGCGGCAGAATCTCCCATGCGCTTAGAAGATCGGCAATAAAGCTCATCTGTGAGACTTCTGGCACTGCTGCTGGAAAAGCATGAAGTCTTGCCATCGCAAACACAGAAAAACCACTGGCTTGCTTAACAGGAATGTTAAAAGCGCTAAATGCACCACGGGGAGGAAGTTTTACTTCCATGCTACCCAAAGGGTCGGTACTCACAAGATATTTTAACTGTTCATTAGTAGACCTAAGGACACTTTTCCGGAGTTTCTTCCGACAATTTTCCTCAAAAATCATAAGACGTCGCACCTTGGCTTCTTGTGTAGCAATTCGCTTTGCCCAGCGCCGCTGCGTTGCACTAACTGCCCGGAGAAACACCTGAAGTTCATTCACTGCTTGACTGCCTCCGGCCAGTGGGCACATTAGACACCTAAAAGAGACCTTTTTTTTGTGTTTTTCCTTTCTCCTCGTCCCCTCCCTCTTGGCAGAAAAAAGAAAAATAAAAAAATAAAAACAGAGCCCAACCTTCTCAAAAAAAAATATATATATATACTAACATTTCACCCCCAACACACTCACACACACAGAAAAAGAGAAAGAAAGAGAGAAACAAACAAAGAGTAGGGATATACGGCATAAATGGATACACTCATGAGTCACGTTCACGTTTTCGCACCACGTTGTACAAGCTGGAAGTCTCTCTTTCAGGAACAGCTTCTTTGAGAAGGAACAATGTCAGAGTTGCCATGTCATTTTCACTAACCCACTGCTGTTCGGTTGGAAACCAGGCCCGGGTTCCTGCCTGTGCACCTACGGGGGCGCGGAATACCCTCCGTGTTGAGGCTTCTTTTTTCGGGTAGTGATATTCACTCTTCGCCCGACGATGCCACTCACCGAAGCCAGAACGCTGTGCCAAAGAAAGACGTTGACATATATCAGACTGTAATGGCGAAGTGTACCGCACGACATGAAACGCATAATCCTCATTACCAATCATAGGTGCTGTAGAAGATGACTGTTCCTTGGATAGTTTATTCAAAAGATTACCAAGTGCAACTTTGGTATCTGAACCTGCATTTAAAGTAGAAGAGGCCTGGTGTTCATTTTTCACAACGTTACTGTTGTATAGTGCAGACTCACGAGTCAACTCAGCGTGAAGACCTTGAAAAAATAACAAGGCAGATTTTGACGGGGTTCGAAGTAACTTTTCTTTTCGCACAACCTCCAAGTACATACTTGCCCGATGCGGTGGAAGTCGCTCAATCATTTTCATACAATTTTGAAGAATTGTGCAAAAACCTGACACCTCTGAGCGTGTGAATCCATCGTTAATACCCTTTGTTTCATCTCCTGACGAATGTGTAAGATCTTTACCACCAATTATTTTACTATCATCACTAATGTTATCCATTTGCTTTCCGCTTATGGCTGCTACCAATTTATCACATACAGAAGAAGTGAAAACTTTCTTCAAACCCCAACGCTTCACTGCACGAGTCACTTTCTCTCGAAGAGCATCATCTGTTGCAGCGTAATTCACAAAAATTGAAGGTGCGATACGCCAGAATTCTTCTAACACTCCTGCAATATATGGGTCCTCTTTCTGTAGCGTCATAGCGTCTATAAAACAGATCACTGGAAAAGAATTTGCTATTTGACTAGGTGTCATTCGGTTACCAATAACCACTGCAACTCGCATGGGTTGTGCACCTTCACTACAAGCTTCGTGTAGTCCCGTAATAGCTGACATTATCTGCTCCTTAGACTGTTTTTGAAGGCCATCTAGCCTCACCTGAAACGTATCCATCAGGAAAAAAGGGATGGCTTTATAATGATAATGATGATTGTTATTTTTTATTTTATTTATTTCAAAGAAAAGGGAGGAAAGAAAAGGAAAAAAAAAAAAAAACTATTTTCATGATGTGAGTTGGTACACTAGAGTACATATAATTTTTATTTTATGAAAAAAGAAAAGATAAGTCTATATCTCTCTCTTTTTTTTTTCTCTCTCTCTCAAGAATCCCTCTCCCCATATATCTTTTCTTTTGTTACCCAAGCTATACTCGCATCCAATGTTTACTGATTTGTATTAAATGGACCAATACGAGCAACAGACTCAATTGCCATAATGGAGCTGTAGAAACAGTTTTTTTCTTCTGTACTGAACATAGCTGAGGTATCTGAAGCAACAAGCTCACTAAAATGATTTATTGAGTTAGTTTTCTCGTATCCATTCTCATCAACTTCTTCAGCAAGAACGCTACCACGCACACAAAGTATAGTTTTCTTGCCAAAGGTTGTACCGTTAAAGTTCAGCCAAAATTTATGTTCCACAAGCTCTACACTGTACCAAAGAAGATGCCTTTTCCCCTCTTCACTATAGAAAATAACAAACTCCTTATCTTTTCCATTGACTAATTCTCTCTCCATTTCGTCGAACGGTACATACCGTGTAGGGTATAGGCTTAAATGAGGGGATTCGATAAGAAACGTCAAAACGTCAGGGATGGATGGTGTCCGCATGGGAATGATACCGCCACATCGTTGAAAAAGCAACATTTGAGTAACATTAATAGTAAACTGCGCAGTACTTCCACCAGGGTAAACCATAGGAGGAAGTTGTGAATCAGTATGGGGTTGCCAAGGACCGATATCTGTTGGAAAGCTAACAGAGAATCTTTGTACCGCTTGTAGATCTTCACCATTAAGGATTGCTGGCGCAATTACTGGCACAAAAAACAGTTCAGTCCCAACACAGAAACCACGCATTTCATTTACACCTTCTCCCACTTGTACTGGTTGCATTACGAAGGGAATAGGTGCCTTTTGTTCAGTCTTATTTTGCTGGTGAAATTGGTGAAAAAAAGTCAAGGACCCAAGAGAAAAGTAGTACGGTCGTAACATTTCATGCATTTGGGTCAGTTTTTCTATTTCCAAGAAAAAGCTTTCGAATTGAGCCGGGAATTGAGCCTTTGCCTGCTCCTTCAATTGTGATGGAAGAATTGTTACCGGACACAGTGCCATTAACTGCATCCACCGAAGTGCAGCTTCGACACCACCCTCCAAAAGTCCACGAGGTTCTACCCCAACATTTATATATCCCCGCTCCAACGACTGCTCCAGCGAAAAGAGGGCATCTTCAAGTCCAGAGAAGGAAAAAGGATAACTTCGTATAAAAGTAACAAACGATATATCGGTTGGACCAAAGGGACGTGGGATTGATACAGGTGAAAGAGAATCTACAGGAAGAAAAGATGTAATAAAGTTAAAACCGTTTTTCTCTCGACCGTAGTCAAAAGTTTGGTAATAATAGTCATTGGCATAAATAGCTGAGTCTACAAATCCACTCCAACCTTGAACACCATGTCCAAATGCAGAAGATAGGACACCATCCATCGCTTCATTCCATAAACCATTCACACCTGTCTGAAAAATCTGATCCAGTCGCTGATGATACCACTGCAAAGCTTCTGCATTAGTAAAGTCTAATAAACCTCCTTTAAATATGTTAGTAGTAATACCATCGGAAGTGTATTGCCAACTTATACTTTCACCACCAGGTGCCAGAAGGAGCAGGGAACGTTTTTTACATTCCCAAAACTCTTGTGTACCATGTCTAACAAAGGAATCTACTGAAGTTACAACATGAAACCCCATAACATGAAGCTGTTCCACAAGACTCTTAAAATGAAAAGTTTCAGAAGGATTTTGCATAAATAGATTTCTCCCATGTTCAACCAAGACAACCCCTATACCAATTTTTTCCCTATTAAACTGTTGCACAAATTCAAGAATTCCATCAACAGAGTATATGGTTGCTGGAACGTGAAGCCACAATCCATGTATCCAGGGAGGGTACGCTGCTATCGGAAGCTTCATATACCTGTTAATGTAGGAAATAATTTTTTTATCAAGTTCTTTTGCCTCATTTTCGTAATCTATACGCCGCAAAAGTTGCCGGATGAGAAATACCACAATCCAAAATACAAACAAGGCGAGAAGAATACTATCCCTCCTCCTTCTTCTTCGCACACTAACCATTTAATTGTTTTTCACCTTGTTTTATTTTTATATTTCTTTTCCCTTTGCTTCGCAGCCTGGCAACTTCTTTTGGGAGTTAGTGAAACATTCTCCAGTTGTTGCAGTAAAGAAATGTATATCACAATGACGGAAAAGGAAAACAACAACAACAACAAAAAAAAGAAAGAAAGAAAGACAACAACAAGAAGAGTAGCTTATGTATGACATCCCATTTCAGTTGCAATACACCCGAAAGAGAGTGATCCAATTTTTCTACTTACATTTTCTTCATTCTCGCTTCTTTTCTTCCTCCTGTTTTTTTTTTTTCCTTCTTTCACACTATCTCACAGGTGCTTCCATCTCCTCAGTGTTGGGTGTGCAAATCTTTATTTTGGAACCCTCATGACCCAACAAATCTGCGAGTGCTACCTTGTATCGATCCTTAACGGCATCACCACAGAGAACGTACACATTTACGTCACTTTCCTTACCAAATGAGGCTATTGCAGCACCGATCGCATGTTCTGGGTCAAGAAAACTTTGCATCACAACATCATCTGCCGATCTTGAAGGGCCGTCTGCCCGTCGAAACAGCTTGACAGAGCACAGGGAATCCAACAGACCCTTTGCTGCTAAAATTTCGTCGATACGTGCCACATCCACACTTGTAGCATCCACACAAACAGTAGAGGGAGATCGATCAGGGGAGATCCGAACAAACGCTTCGACGTTTACATCAAAGTATCGTTGTACGTCATCACGCTCCAAGAAGGACATCCAACCACCTTTCCCTGGGTTTATAGAGGTAGGGAGAAGTGGAGCAATAAGAGCTAAATCAGTATACACAGGAAGCTTTCCACGACCTAGCAATTGTAGCGCTCTGCTAATACTCTCTGCCTCAGGTGACATTGGTTCTTCTACAAGACGGTAAATTGGGACTCCAGTTGCTGCGGACCGTGAAACGTGAAAAATGTGTGAAAACCAGCGTTGAACCCATTCAGATACAGGACCATGAAGAGATAGTGAACTAGATGAAAACTTCGACTCTAGTCTGACAATTCGATTAATGAATTCTTTCTCTGTTACTCCTTCGGGAGGCATAGATACAGCTACAGACCGCATTATTTCCTCCCAGTTAAACGGGTATAGTATTCCTGCACAGACGTAGTGTGAATCGTTTACTTCTGTAAGCACATTTGTCCAAGATGGAGGAAGCACCTCTTCTTGCATATCTGTTGAAGAATATGTTGACATTGTAGTTCCCGTATTTTGCAGGCGTTCCTTCAGTCCTAATCGAACTTCATCTAAAGGAATACCTGAGGATGGGGCATTCTGAATAATTTCTCTCAAAAACACTCCCATCTTCCCTGCGCATCTCACCACTATACACTTCTTCATCAATACCCTTTCCCCAAATAGAGATCCAAATCTACTATTTAAATAATAGTACGATTAACGTAAAACAAGAAAAAAAGAAAAGAAAGAAAGAAAGGAAATGTTGAGAAAGAAAGGGTTTGTGAAACATATACAACATCCTTTTCATTTAAAAAAAAAAAATATTATAATTTCACAAAACCCATAAAATAATACTTCATTCTTAATCGTTTCTTTTTTTCATTCTTAGCATGAGGGGTATGTATTTTTTAAACACCGAAGAAAACTTCTTTTCCCAGTTTTCTTTTTTTCCTTTCCTTTTTTCTTTCCTTTACTCCTCTTGCTCTGAGATAATCTCTTTTATTGCAAATTTCCACAACTTCTGTTTCACTTCATGTGACCCACTTGCTGGATACTTAAAAGTTACTGTTTCAGGACCATTTTCTTCATTGAGATCACTGGTATTTGAAAAGAGTTCTCCCAGATTCTTTTTCAGTACTTCTAGGGCAGAAGGTACAATCGCATCAGGTTTGGTATATTTGAATGGGTTCCTTACTGTGAGGGCAAAGGATACTTTTTCTGCACATACTGCTTTGAGGTTTTGTGCATTAACATCATCTGATTTTGTGGTACCATCATTTTTTCCTTTTGTACCTGTAGGAATGTACATCCTCAAGACGGCATGTGCATTCTTTTGAATAGCCTCAAGTGCATCTTTCTCACGTTCGTCATGAAGTAAAAGACATTTACCGCTGTGGAGGGCACGTGCTGTCCGTCCTGCACGATGTACAAAAGTCTCTACGGACATATTATGTGATGGGAGTGATAACATTAGGACCATATGCACATCCACAAAATCCAGACCGCGAGCAGCAAGGTCTGTGCACAAAATCACTGAGGCTGTGTTACTGTTGAAATCTTCCATAGCAGCAATTCTGTCAAGTTCATCCTTAGATGGGTTTAATGAACGAAAAGCCAATTTTACTTTATTGGTTGAAAGGGCAACCTCCAAATCCTCAATTTGTCTTCTGGTACCAAAAACTACTGTACGTCCGAAACCTTCTTTACCAAGTAACCGTACTGTTGTTTCTACTCGATCTTTGTACTGACAATGCATTGTAAAGCACTCAAGCTTATCTGGTAATTTGGCTGTTCCAACTGTTACGAGTTGGTAATAATACTTTTTAACACCAAGGAAACCAGCCTTTATCACCCAGTTGGGAATTGTAGCTCCACAAAGCACGTAGTGGTGAGAGCGGAAGTCTGTCATTAAACCTTTCGTTAATGAACCATTTGCCTTGCGGATGAATTTGAGAAGATTTCGCATGCGACGCCCAATGTTTGAAAACCGCGGTCCAAGCGTCAGGTCCACCTCATCCACAACAATAGCCCGAATGTTAGAGGCTTTCACAACACCTCCTGTTGAGGTTTCATCTCCTTCGTTACTATTATTATCATCATCATCACCATCGTCATTGAGATCTTCCACCTGATCTTCTTCTTCTTCCTCTGTTTCTTTATTTATTTCTTCTTCTTCTTCAGTCGTACGGTTTCGTTTCACATTTTCACGTTTGTCGCCATGTCGTGTACCACGGATGGCCACATCAATTGACCGCACCGTACCAATCAGTATGTCAGTCTGTTGAGAGGTGAGATCTTCAAATCCTGCGACACGAATGTTTAATTTGGGATAAATCTTTTCAAGGACCCCTTTCGTCTGAACAGCAAGCTCATTACTGAAAACGAATATAAGAAGAAATGGACCAGGAGTGACAGATGAGGAACTATTTACCTCTAATATAGTGTGTCGCTCAATAATAGGGAGTGCGTACGCCAGTGTCTTTCCACTTCCGGTGCGGCTGTGAAGTATGACATCACGGCGGTTAAAAATGCCACGGTAGCATTGAGCCTGACATGGTAAAAGAGTGGCAAATCCCATTTTCTTCATAATGGCTTTTGCTGTTGCAGTAGTCATCAATGGAGCTTTCTTCAGGGGACCCTTTACAGATGTCTGATCCTCTGCCGTAGAGTGATCAACATTGTCAATTGGATATTCTTTCATAAGACGATCAAAGGAAAGGTCTACCGCTTCATCATTATGAAAGACAACAGTCCCTGTCTTTTTTGCCTTATTGCGAGGTGCACGAGACGGGTTCTCCCAATTGTAGATATTCATTTTCAGAGTGAAACTACTTCACACTAAAAATACAAAAACAAAAGTAATAAAAAAAAAGAAAAAAAAAGAGAGAACTACATTCGTACATCTAGGCATATTATACGATTCCTTTTAACATTTTAACTTTAAGCGAAGAAAAAGTAAATAAATAAATACCATATTGTTATGCACCAAAAAAAAAAAGAAAAAACAAACAAAAGTATTAGTCAATAAATATCACCTCCTTTTCAGTATTCGGTTCTTCCTCCAAATCTACCACCTCTTTATTACTGATTTGTTGTTGTTCCAGACATTCTGCAGATGACAACGATGATAATGAAGAAGATGATGAGATCGTTATTACAGTTGCCTCATTACTATTACTTCGATCACGCTTCTCAGCATCCTTTTTAGCGAAAAAACTTGTTAGGACCATTTGTTGTCTCTGTCTCATACCATCATCATTCACTTTCTCTTTAAATGAGCCTATAGTAAGCGTCACCGCGTTAACTGTCACACCATACTGTTCTGATAGAGTGCTTATGACACAGTGCATTGTAGCATTTATCAAGGTTTCCGTCGTCACTAGTTCAGGTAATGCAAGAGTTCTGTTCAAAACATTGCTAAGATGACTGAGTCCACGATTTCCTAATTTCACATTAAGTGTGTGTCCCTTTGCATTGTAAGTATCACAGAATTCCTTGTATCGTGCACATAGTTCACTACTAAGAACAGTTATCCATTTTTTTACACCCTCTGCCAAGGATGTAGGTGGATTAAAGACTTTAGAGGCCATCAAAGTTTTAGATATTGATCGTTTAGTTATTTTCTCTTCATCATAACAACGCAGTCGACGGTACGTGTAATCAGCATTAGCATCACCAAGTAAAACTTTAAATACTTCCTTTGGAACTAACCACGCTTCACGACATAATTCCATTCCCCCACAAGCGTGTTGAACAGCTTCACCATACTTCCCACCAAAACCACGAATATCACGAAAAGAAGTGTCCCACATAGCGGAAGCAACACAGTTTGGTAAAAGTAATGTCTGTTGATTAGGTTTGTGTCGTGAGGAGATACTTTTGGCGAGAAGTTTGTTATGGGCGATTCCTGCAGAGCAGTCATAATGAAGTTCTTCACGTATTCGCTGTCGAATATTCCATACAACTCGTGATGCTGCACCAAGAAGCAATATATTTTCCATACTGGCAAGCGGGTGCAAAGATGAATCAAATAATTCGTGGAAATTCTTACCTCGTTCTTCAAACCATGCGTTAATTTCTTCTTGACGATTCAAAATTACTCTAGTTGATGGTTCCATGACATCTTCCAAAGAGGAGAGAGGTTTGGTGTTTAGCATCATAACAGACTTCTTTATTTGCTCTGCAGCGACCGTCACATCGAGAAAGGCTTCATCCACACTGCCCTTTTCCAGTTTTACTCCTTCAAAACTCCGTAAAATATTAAAAATATGGCGACTCGCTTCTCTGTATGGTTCCAAGGCTACTTTATGCGTTCCTTTTTGTGGTTTCTCGTGATATTTATACTCCGTTTCTCCCACTGCATATGTTGCCACATGGGAAACCTTTACATGAGGACATTTTTCTTTGGCTTCCTCCACTGTGTTGAAACGGACAATGCCACACTGACGCGCCGGATAGTTTACAGCGATCAGGTTTCCCCACTGTGAAAGAATGTATGGCTCCGTACGGCAATCAATACCAAGTCGAACTGCTTCTACTTGAGCGTAAAAACAGTCCATGTCTAAGTGTGCGATACATCGCATGGCTTGAAAGAAAACATTAGTCAAACAGTAACACTACACCAGAGT